AGTGGAGACGGACACTGGTGCGGGGCAGCCTGCCCTTTTCTGAGTTTCCTGGCAACATTGGGGGCAGGAGAAGGGAGTGAGGCCAGAGCACAGTGGGAAAATAAATCACGTTGGGACAAAAAAGAAAAAAGGGTTAAGGAGCTGAGGTCACCCGGCTGGTGCGCAGCGAGGCTAGGGCTGGACGGGCCGGCTGACTCGGCCTGCAGCCCTGACCCATCGGTAGGCAGGCTCCAAGGGGGCTCTAGATCAGGGGCAGGGGGTGGGGCGTCTCTTTTTTACTGCCAAGGGCCATTTGTCCATAGAGAACACCATTCTTGGGCCGTACAAGTGACTGAAACATCAGCCTGCTCTGTTTAGGCACACATCTCATTAGCTCAGCCCTGATGTGATGGCTGGGACTGCTTCTCTTGGGTGAGGTGTGCAATATTAGCTAGTACTGATGATTTCTCTGTCCTACAGGACCTGCGGGCCGCATGTTCCCCACTCCTGGTGTATATGGACCCCAAACCAAACAGACCCTATCCACTCCCATCGAGTCAATTCTGACTATAGACATATATGGCTGTCAATCTTCACGGGACCCGGCAGCTTCATCCTTGTTCTGTGTGGAGCAGCTAGTGTGATTTGTAGACGTTGAGGTTTGTAGCCCAATGCTCAACCCACAGCAACACAGGGCTTCTTTCTAGGGGTCATCTGTGAGCCAGGTGTGTAACAGGACCCAGAACTGTTGGGAGGTCCTTGGCAGTCCCCTGGATGCCACCTCTTGAGCCGTGGGAAGCCCTGTAAGCCCAAGCGGAGCCCGGGCCTGGAGGGAATGGTAGAGCGAGAGGCTGATGTGTCTGCTGACTGGGGAAGAGACCGCTCTGCAGCCGCGGCAGGGGCTGATGGGGAGCTGGGGCAGCAGTGTGGATGGCAGGCCACCAGGCACTCTCCGTAAAAAGGTGGTTGTGCCGGGGCCAGTTCATTCCGGAGCACAGTGACTGACGGACAGATTGCAGGCTGTCTTTCCCGACTGGAATCTCTGTGGGCGCAGTCTGCCAGGCCTTTCTCCCTCGGAACTGCTGATGGGAGACCAAGCACCGACCTTTCGGTTGGCAGCTGAGTGCTTACCGGTGTGCCACCAGGTGAAGCTCCTGGTTAAAAAGGTGGGGTGTCGCAGATGTCTATTTCTATTGTTTTTATGTGGGGGAACAAACCACCCCTGCCTCTGAAACGATCCCTAAGAAACTAAGCACAGGGCGCTGGGAGCAGTAGGTAGCCTGAGGAGGGCGGGGCATCTCAGCATCGCTGTGTTTTGTCTCTGACCACAGCGGCCTGGTTACTGGACGGTTCGGTGTGAGCTGGCAGTTGGACGCCCCGCGTGATGTGATGATATTTCACAGCTGCCCATCAGGACGGCCGTCTCTCTGACCCAACAACTGGATGGTGTCCCAGTCACACGGTCTCTTAAATCATGGCAGTCTAGCAAGTCCTCGTAGGGCAGTTCAAACTCTTGTCACCCGGAGCTGCTGAGTTCAAATGGGCTCCACAGCACCCAGAAGCAATCACGCACTGTCAGCGAGTCCACTCTGCACGTATTTCCTGACCTTTAGCAACTCCACCTCTATGTTTACCTCTTATTTCCACATGTGCACAATGACACGCATACAAGAATAGTCCATTGTAGCACAGTTTCTGCAGGTCCCTAAGTGCAACAGTTAATGCACTTCGGTGATAACCAGAAGGTTGTACGTTCGAGTCGACCCAGAGATACCTTGAGAGACAGGCTTGGAGATCTTCTGAACATCGGCCAGAGGAGCCTCGTGGAGCTCAGGTCTACACCCCCCACACACACACCACACACACTCAAACAGCCCCCCCCACGCTCAACCCACACACACACTCAAACAGCCCCCCCACGCTCAACCTCACACACACACACTCACACACACCCCCACACACACACACCATCCACTCAAACACTCCACACACACTCAACCCCCCACACTCACACCCCACACACACACTCAAACAGCCCAACACGCTCAACCCACACACACACACTTGGGGTTCTGAGAGGAGGTCAGAACTCTCCACCTGGAGGCTAACCCAAGGGCTCCGACGCTGTGGCCTGAGATGGTGACATCAGCCAGGTGGTTGG